AAAAAAAAAAAAAAAAAAAACATTTTAAATGAACAAATTTGATCACTGATGCCATCTTATGGCACTGAGAAGAATGAACAATTACGTGCTTTACTGTAAACCATTTTAGTTTAATTTTAATACGAGTCAATATTATTTTCTAAATGTATATACAAATGATCTGAAGTGTACCATAAAGATCTGGCCCATGAGGAGTGAACACGTTGTATAGTATTATATTCAGAGGAGCCATCACCAGCTTGCCATAGTAGTAGCTGTCTACTACAACAACAGGGACCTACAGAAACATGTAACAATGATAAGTGTTATCAGTATAATACACTGAATTTGGATATTTTTTGCCATTTTATTATTGATGGAATCTCAGTGTCTGAAGTCAGACAAAAAAAAGACACAAAAACAATTCAACAACCTAAGATGGACACAGAAATCAACGAGTTTCCCAACCAGAAAGAGGAGCAATGCCACCAGAGTCCATGTGATAAAACTCTTCCACTTCTTCTTCAGAAACAACAGGTCAAAGGCAATGGGTATTCTGCAGAAACAAACAGTAAACAGAGGCTAAATTCACCTAGTTGCCTGATCGGGGTCATTTCTATGGCTTTTCACCAAATGCGAGTAAATATTGACTTTGTTGAGCAAATGAAACATAGCAACTAGCCATTTTTACTTATAAAGGAACTGCAGTATAATTCATAGATTAATCTGCAAGAACTACAGTGTTACCCTCACTTTTTAATGATTATTTTTGGGGATTTTTGCCTTATATCTCTCTCTCTATGTATAGAGTAGACTGGATAGCAGTAGTGAGAAAGAAGAAGTGGGATGAGGACGTGTCAAACTTGGGTTATCTACCTGCTAAACATGTAAATGTTCACAATTCTGATCTGTGGAAAAAACACAAAGCCCCATATTTGAATAGGTAGCCGATTAAATCCTATTATAAAACTGCAGATTTGAAAGTTGCATTAGGTAAAAAAGAAGAAGCTAGTACCAAAAGTTTGAGGTTGGTAATATTTTTTAATGCTTTTTTAAAAAAAGTATCATGCTCACCAAGGCTGTAATTATTTAATCTGTAAAACAGTAATATTTTGAAATATTATTATAATTTAAAAAGAACTGGTTTCTATTTGAACAGATTTTAAAATATTATTTATTCCTGTGATGCAATGCTGAATTACTCCAGTCTTCTACCCAAGCAACACTGTTAATTATTATAGTGCTGCCTTTTTTTTTTTTTTTTTTGTGGAAACCATTTTTTTTTCAGGATTCTTTGATGAAGACATAGAAAGTTCAAAATAACAACACTTATTTTAAACAGCATTTTTTTGTAACATTATAAATGTCTTTACTGTCACTTTTGATCAATTAAATGCTAAATAAATGCATTCTACATAAAAGTAATAATTTCTGTAAAAAAAAAAATACAACTGCCCCCAAACTTTTAAATGGTAGTGTGTATGTATCATTTTATGTTAAAATATTATAATATCTGCAGCAGAGCAAAACTTGGCTCAGATTTATCAATTGGTATTAGTTGTGAGCAAATGACATTTTGGATTAAATGGGTTAAGCCCCCAAAAACAAAAATGTAATGTAAGGGTAACAAAAAAAATACAAATAATTCTTAAAATACAAATCAACCAAATTCTTATTCTCATAAGGATAAAAATGCATTTTAATATAAATAAAGCAATACAGGTTCATGTCTGAATAGGAATATTTATAGGAAATATTTTATTTGTGGTAGAAAATATTTTGGACCCTTCTAGTCACTCTACATATAAAACATTGACTGTTTCTTAATCTTACCCCAGCAGGGCACTGAAGGGCCAGCCCACTATGGCCCCCGCTGCAATACCCAGCACAGCCAGACTTGGGCGCCCCCGGAACCAGCCAGTCATAGCTACCACTGTACTGTACATGCAAAACGTACTGGGGAGGAAAGCTGCACATAACACAAACACATTAACCTGCAGTGCATACACAAAATTATGTCAAAAAAGAAAAATAGCACACAAACAGTTATCGTCTAATTTCCCTGTGATCAACCAGATAAGCCAAATACTGCCCACTGACTCACCTGCAGAGGAGCAGAACATCCCTGCACTCAGGACGAGGAACGCCAGCAGAAGCCGGCCCACATGCAAGCCAAACTTTTTACACACGGCCCTGTGTGAGATCCATGAGAATAGATCTTTAAGCCTTATTTACTGTAAAATCCTATTTTAGCTGATGTAAGGTACAGTATGTAGTATGCTGCACTTACTTGTAGAAGTAGAGCTCGCACACACAACAGGTAAAAGCTAGCATGCAGCGCAGGAAATAAAACACAAGGACCTGAATGGGAACAAAAAAATTCACATGTCTAAGCCGGCCTATAATAAATGGTCAAAATATATCTAAATATATTCAAGATTTTCACACAGAACAAAAGACAACAACGTCAACAGAGGGTCATATTATTCCTCGTGCCTGTATTACTATGTAAGAAGATTATGAAATTGGACATGCGTGAATGTGCACCTGAGATACACGGCATCAAATATATTAGAAGCAATAGAAAATATTTCTTCAGCATGGCGCTAGCAGCACCAATTCCCAGGAAATGCATGAACTGATAATATATACTTTGAATAAAATGTCGCTTTGGATAACTACATAAATTTAATGAAATTCTCAATATCATAGCAGAGAGCCATTTAAAACTACATTTTAGAAGTCCAGGATAGAGTTGTGATTAAACAAATACAAATTTGTACTACAAAGAAACATAGTTTCCATCATTGTGAAACATAAAGGATTATTACATCATGTTGTGTAAGTGGAACCACGGCTTTTATCCAGCTCCAAGGGTTATTTTTTTCGTCAGATTTGAGATCTGATTTTCAGATTCCACTGAGGTTAAGCAGCCACCTCACTGATCATAGAAAAATCCTACTACATTACAAATGCTTAAAAACATAGAATCAAAACTAATAAACAATCAGTTTGAGGCTGGTGACTAGTTTACCTTGTTGGTTTGTAATAGTTTGGCATGAAAGCAGGCAGGAAGGGCATGGAGCCAAAGATACGCATAGGAACGAATCGCATAGGCCGGGGAATATTCCCATGTCTGCATTCCTGTTCCATACAGCAGGTAGTGAGTCTGGCCAGCAAAAAGACAGAAATAAAAAGAATGTTGAGTGAACCTTTCTTTTTTTATATATACCAAATTGGTAGTTTTCAAAAGAAGAGTGAGATTCAGCAATATGGCCCACTCAACCCATAAGGTTTTTACTTTGATAGTCTGTTTGTGATCAGGAACAGACATAACTTTCTATTGAAGACAAAAGCAAAGCTTTTGCATTTGAACTGCACCTGGACAGTCTCTAGTAGGTTTTTATTATTGATACCCCAGGGCATCATGGGACACAACAGTGACATAGATCAGGGCTCAACAATAAGGATTTGCTTTCTGATGTTCCAGTTAGATAAGTAGGTCAGCTTTTCACTTGCCCTGCAACATTTTTATATATATAAATATATACATATATACACATACATATACACATACACATACACACAGTGGTGTGAAAAAGTATATTTATTTGTAATGTAATCGTACGTGTTTTTAATATATTAAAATTTATTATTTTTATGGTGGGACAAGTGAACAACTCCATGATAACTTTTAATTCAACACACTTTTTTTTTTGTTTAGAAAATTATGAAATTAAGTAAAACTCTCTCTCTCTATTATATATATATATATATATTAGGGCTGTGCAATATATCGAAATATCGCAAATGTACATATCGCAATATGCATATCTCTACAGCTTGCAATATTTGGGGCCATGAACAAAAGACAAAGAGAAAATCACTCACTGCTCTTACCTAAATAACTTTTGTAGCTTAAATAAGAATCAGTGCATATTGAATTCAAAGAGTAAATTCTAAGCAGTGTTTTATTTTTCCTTTTTATTATTCAGTTCCTAAACTCATGTTAAAATGATTACACTAATGTTAAAATGACATTTTTATGTAATGCTCGAGTATAACACTACCGTTCACTTTCAGAAGTTGTTGTAGGGGTGCTTTCTTACTAGAATCAGAATCAGAATTAGCTCTATTCACCACTTAAGTGTGCGCAAACACAAGGAATTTGTTGTGGTTTTACAGGAACTCTTGGTACATACATACAAATAACCATATATATATGACACAAGATAGTTATAGAAGTTCACAGAACTGACTCAGCAACAGCCGAGTAAAACTGTTTATTTTGAGCATGTGGCACTTTAAGCATTATCGTATCGAATATCGCATTTTTCTTCCATATCGCACAGCCCTAATATACAGTGGTGTGAAAAAGTGTTGGCCCCCTTCCTGATTTCTTATTTTTTTGCATGCTTGTCACACTTTAAGGTTTCAGATCATCAAACAAATTTAAATATTAGTCAAAGATAACACAAGTGAACACAACATGCAGTTTTTAAATGAAGGTTTTTATTATTAAGGGAAAACAAAATCCAAAACTACGTGGCCCTGTGTGAACGGTAGTGTTATACTCGAGCATTACATAAAAATGTCATTTTAACATTAGTGTAATCATTTTAACATGAGTTTAGGAACTGAATAATAAAAAGGAAAAATAAAACACTGCTTAGTATTTCATATTTTAATTCAATATGCACTGATTCTTATTTAAGCTACAAAAGTTATTTAGGTAAGAGCAGTGAGTGATTTTCTCTTTGTCTTTTGTTCATGGCCCCAAATATTGCAAGCTGTAGCGATATGCATATTGCGATATGTACATTTGCGATATTTCGATATATTGCACAGCCCTAATATAAATAAATAAATATATATATATATATATAGAGCGAGAGAGATTTACTTACTTTCATCATTTTCTAAAAATAAAAAAGTGTGTTGAATTAAAAGTTATCATGGAGTTGTTCACTTGTCCCACCATAAAAATTGTAAATTTTAACATATTAAAAACACGTACGATTATATTACAAATAAATATACTGTAATAGTCATAACAGGTTATTCTGTAGTTGTATGTTATAATATAGTATGTTATAATATATAACAGAGTTAAAATTATAAACAAATATTTTGTCAATGTTTTTTTTTTTTTTAACGCTGTCAAATAAAAAAAGCTGTCATGGTGTTAAAAACTCTGTAGATTCCAGCAATAATCGAAAATGTCATTTTTTTTGTCTTTTAATTATTTTTGTTAAATTAATATGAATAATACTTAGCTGTAATTGCACATTTACAAAAGTATTTGTGTGCATGTTATGATTTCTGTGATTTTGTTACGAATGTTTAATCATTCTAACTATCACAAGTCAATCTGGAATTATTTATTTACTTTTTTTGTTAGTCAGATCAATGAGGTTAACTTAAATCAGCAGAACTGCAACAACAATTACAAATTAATCACAGAAGATCAAGTTCAAGCAAAGTGTGGAAAGCAGCATAACGACACATAAGATGTAGTGAGAATGCGTCGCTGGACCAACAGGACAAGGGACAGCTCCATCAACTGCCCCAAAACTCTGTCACAATGGTCCCGGGCCATCTTTATTGCTGTACCCTGAGAGCTTACCAAAAACTGTAAACCAGGAAAAGGAGTAACTCACTGGCTCCCAGTAATTGTAGGTTTCATCACAGTCTGAGATGTTACTGAGCAGCGCAGCACAGAAGCGGGCTGAAACCAGGCACTTGAAGGCCGTGGAGCCCTCAGGAGCCCACACCTGTCCTGCTTTACTGGATGACCTGTAAAGGAGAGGCGGGGGATAGGAGCTAATGTGCTTATCTGGGAGCAAACTAGTACGCAATATGGGAACAGAGCACAGGGTTATACAAAGTTGTCATTCATTTATTTCAGCATTCAAAACAGTGTCAGTCTAAAACTCATCCACAAGCACGATCAATACAGATGTGCATGAGAAATTCAAGATATTCACACAGAACAAAAGACAACAACGTCAACAGAGGGTCATATTATTCCTCGTGCCTGTATTACTATGTAAGAAGATTATGAAATTGGACATGCGTGAATGTGCACCTGAGATACACGGCATCAAATATATTAGAAGCAATAGAAAACTGACCATTATCTAGTGCATTATCTAGTGTCTCTAAAGCACTCCAGCGTATGAAAGAACAGTCATTAAATAAACCACAGCATATGTTTTGGATGTTTGCATCCCGGTAGAGCTGCGATGTGAATGAATGAAAGCCGTCATGCTACACCGGATCGAGCTTATCCGTGTCGCCTGCTGCATTTGAGCATTTCTATCTCTCTCGGCTTATTTAGATAGTCTATTGACATTACATGTATCTGTTATCTGTATAAATCGTATATCCAGGCAGCCTGATGTTAGCGAGCTAGCGAGCTGTCAACAGCACACATCACTTACACCGCGCCGGAGCTGGACTGGCTTAATGGTTGCTTACTCATTTCGGGGGTCACTGGACTTATTTTCCTCAAAACATTTGTCGTCTTTTGTTGCTCGGTTGTCAGTGGTAGGTGTGCTGTTCACGCTGTTCGCGTCTTGTTTGCTTCCCCGTCTGCTGCGCTGACGGAGAGCCTTCGACGCCATGTTTGTAGTGTTGGGCCGTTCTTCAACGATTCGTTCATTTTGAACGAATCTTTAATGTGACTCGGGAAGAACGAGTCGTCTCGGGGAGTGATTCGTTCAGTGGCGCATGGAATTAGTCAAGTAGTTCACCTGGTTCGAGTCTTCGGGTTTTTCCGAGTCATTCGTTCATCACGTGACAGCCCCATAAGCCCAAACCCGAAGACTTGTCAGATAAGAGGCAAGGTGATCTAATCATAGACTGAAGACCCAAGTAAACAATGAATTAATCTTTTCTGTTTCTTATAGCAGTTTTGTATTGTTTGTAGTGTGGTCAACGTTTGCGTTAGTAGTAGACGTATTAGGGAAGTAACACGTAACATTTTAATTATATTTCGCTAAAATGAACGAAATGACTCGAAAAAAGATTCGTTCATTTTGCTGAACGAGACTCAAAGGTCCGAGTCCTTAAAATGATCCGAACTTCCATCACTCGGCTGTGCGTGACGTCATCATCGGAGCGCACGCGGGACGGAGAGACGGACATTGTATCAAATTATGTTATTTTAGTATCATTATAGTTTGTAATGTTGAATTCTTTTTTTTTTTTACTTTTATTTAGTATTCGTTTTAATTTGGGAAGATCAGGCCCTTTCTTTCAGAACATGCTGAAAGTTTTAGTAATTTTATTGTTGTAATTTTTATTAGTTATTGTTTTTAGGGTTTTTTTGTTTTTGTATTAATTTCTATTTGTTTTTGTTTTTTATTGTAGTACATCAAGTTTAAATGAAAACGAGAAATGCTGCTTTGGTAATTTGAAACGAAATTGTTTTTGTTTTTTTAGTTAACTGTAATAACCTTGCTGCTAACTCCGATTTTTTTCTCTTACTGAATTTGCAAAGTACATTTACTACAACTGTTTTAATATACATACATTTCATAACACACTTTTCTAATTTACTCTCCTTCAGTACATTTAGGTAATATTTAAGCCAACTGAACAACTAATATCGTTAATGATTAATACAAGTATTGTTATATTATTGAAATATTACGTTATCAACCTCCTTGCACCATTGTACTATGGTACAATGATGGTATGGCAATAACATGGTATTGAATTATTTGAATATTCATAAACCATGATGATACAGGGTTAAGCAGTAACCTGCAATTGTTAATTTTCTACCTGATTTAACCCATGAAGATTAGTTTGTATTGATTAGTTGGTTTAATGTATTTTTGGCTTAGTCATATTAAATGCTATTTATGACTTGAACAAAACCAGTTAATTTAGACATAATTGCAATTTAACTTAAACAATTTTCACTATTATCATAATTTGTTTATGCGTGCTATTGTGGTTTTGCATATTAGCAAATTGACCTAAATTTACTAAATCTAAACAGCTATATGTGGCATGATGACATTTCTTTAACATTTATATTAGATTCTTGCGATTTAAGAATAAACATTTTCCTGCTTTCCTAAAAATGTAAAGATTTTATACTAAAGAGCAACTAAAATCATATTTAGTATTCTCAAACAGGACCTGTTGTTTCAAAATTAATAGTTTGGTGTGGGTGCCATGATACATGAAGCCAAAAAAACATGCACACTTGCTAAATGCTCAACAACATCAAAAATGTAATGACAGAACATGTGTTTACCATTTTGAATGTTACACTTGCAATTGTTGGGACTCAGCACCTGGCGTGCACTTGTTTTTAGATACGTGCCATGATGAGTCTAAGACAGGGGTCACCAAACTCGGTCCTAGAGGGCCACTGTCTTGCAGAGTTTAGCTCAACTTGCCTCTCAAGTGTGTGACGGAAATGTTACGCCCTTCACCATACTGTTGATGCCGTGTCTGGCCGGAACGATGAGACAAAAACATTAAAACTCATTATGCAAATCTTCCCACATAGTGAGGTAGACATGTGGGGGCGTGTTAGAACGAGCCGTTTTAGGTAGGTGTGGCTGACTCTTAACTTTTATAAAGAATATCTCTTTGGATTTGAGACTTTAGTCTTTGCAGCTTTACAGATCTTCTTTATGCAAAAAATTGAAAATCGCATATGACCCCTTTAAAGAGCCAAAAAGAACGCATGTCACACCTCTGTTCATCAATTTGCACTAGTTGGTTTAATGTATTTTTGGCTTAGTCATATTAAATGCTATTTATGACTTGAACAAGAGCTCTCTAAGTAACTGCTCCTGGACAGTTTTCACTGGATGATGTGACTGCTGACCAAGGGAATGCCTAACACAGAAAGAAAGGTTAGAATTTGGCTTCAAATATACTGTATAATGTATAGAAAATCCACTAAATTAAATACATTATGCATACGCATATACTGACAAAAGTATTGTATGTGTAAGCCCATCTTTTTTGTATAATATATTACAAGACTGATAACAGAGAGGGCCACTGTCTTGCAGAGTTTAGCTCAACTTGCCTCAACACACCTGCCTAGAAGTTTCAAGTACACCTAGTAAGACCTTGATTAGCTGGTTCAGGTGTGTTTGATTAGGGTTGGAGCTAAACTCTGCAGGACACTGGCCCGCCAGGATTGAGTTTGGAGACCCCTGGTCTAAAATATAACATTTTGTAAATGTAATTCTTATAATTTATCTATATATGGGATTCAAGCCAGTTTACCTTTTTGGGACTTAATCAGCAGGATATACCAGCAGTTTGAGCATCCCAACCAGTCCAACACTGTTTGACCAAACAGGTTAATTTTCAGGTAATCTGTGTGACGACAGCCATTATTTTTACAATTCCATTTGTTTGAGAAATGACACCCTTCACCCTTCAGTCTAATAATATAGCAATATAACAATTTACAGTCACAAATTATAATAAACAATCATAGACACTCCAGAAATATCACAGTATCAAATGCAGCTTTAGAGATAATGTAAACACGTGCCAAACAAAGAAACTAGAAAAATATTTAAGTTAATTTTTTGCAACTTTGCAACAGACTTGCAGTTAATTACATCTTAACTGAAAGAGGCCCCTAAACATGCATAATAAATTAATATAACAGAGGAACAGAGGATCAATAATTATTTTCATTTTCTTTCCCCATTGCAAAGTACTAAACAACAAGGAAAAATAACAATACTACTGAAATTTGTAAACATTTCTTTGATATTTTATATCTTAAACCCACAATATTTATAATGTAAAATTTCAAATAGTTTGATATGTCAGTTTTAAATAAATGGGAATAACAACCATTGTATTTGCTAAAATGTAACCTCTCTTTTCTTTATTTCAGTACATTTAGGTAATATTTAAGCCAACTGAACAACTAATATCGTTAATGATTAATACAAGTATTGTTATATTATTGAAATATTACGTTATCAACCTCCTTGCACCATTGTACTATGGTACAATGATGGTATGGCAATAACATGGTATTGAATTATTTGAATATTCATAAACCATGATGATACAGGGTTAAGCAGTAACCTGCAATTGTTAATTTTCTACCTGATTTAACCCATGAAGATTAGTTTGTATTGATTAGTTGGTTTAATGTATTTTTGGCTTAGTCATATTAAATGCTATTTATGACTTGAACAAGAGCTCTCTAAGTAACTGCTCCTGGACAGTTTTCACTGGATGATGTGACTGCTGACCAAGGAAATGCCTAACACAGAAAGAAAGGTTAGAATTTGGCTTCAAATATACTGTATAATGTATAGAAAATCCACTAAATTAAATACATTATGCATACGCATATACTGACAAAAGTATTGTATGTGTAAGCCCATCTTTTTTGTATAATATATTACAAGACTGATAACAGAGAGGGCCACTGTCTTGCAGAGTTTAGCTCAACTTGCCTCAACACACCTGCCTAGAAGTTTCAAGTACACCTAGTAAGACCTTGATTAGCTGGTTCAGGTGTGTTTGATTAGGGTTGGAGCTAAACTCTGCAGGACACTGGCCCGCCAGGATTGAGTTTGGAGACCCCTGGTCTAAAATATAACATTTTGTAAATGTAATTCTTATAATTTATCTATATATGGGATTCAAGCCAGTTTACCTTTTTGGGACTTAATCAGCAGGATATACCAGCAGTTTGAGCATCCCAACCAGTCCAACACTGTTTGACCAAACAGGTTAATTTTCAGGTAATCTGTGTGACGACAGCCATTATTTTTACAATTCCATTTGTTTGAGAAATGACACCCTTCACCCTTCAGTCTAATAATATAGCAATATAACAATTTACAGTCACAAATTATAATAAACAATCATAGACACTCCAGAAATATCACAGTATCAAATGCAGCTTTAGAGATAATGTAAACACGTGCCAAACAAAGAAACTAGAAAAATATTTAAGTTAATTTTTTGCAACAGATGAAATGACTTGCAGTTAATTACATCTTAACTGAAAGAGGCCCCTAAACATGCATAATAAATTAATATAACAGAGGATGCAATTTGCAATAATTATTTTCATTTTCTTTCCCCATTGCAAAGTACTAAACAACAAGGAAAAATAACAATACTACTGAAATTTGTAAACATTTCTTTGATATTTTATATCTTAAACCCACAATATTTATAATGTAAAATTTCAAATAGTTTGATATGTCAGTTTTAAATAAATGGGAATAACAACCATTGTATTTGCTAAAATGTAACCTCTCTTTTCTTTATTTTTTAAAAAAAAACTGCAGAACAAATCAGTCCAAATAAACGGACTCACTCTTCTGATCTATAGTTAACCCTCATCCTTAAAAACTTAAATCAGTCATCTGCACTTATATATTATTGCTCTTTTGTTAGTTTTGACTGCTTTTATTGTCCTCATTTGTAAGTCGCTTTGCGTCTGCTAAATGACTAAATGTAAATGTAAATTTGAAAGTTTTAGTAATTTTATTGTTGTAATTTTTATTAGTTATTGTTTTTAGGTTTTTTTTGTTTTTGTATTAATTTCTATTTGTTTTTGTTTTTTATTGTAGTACATCCAGTTTAAATGAAAACGAGAAATGCTGCTTTGGTAATTTGAAACGAAATTGTTTTAGTTTTTTTAGTTAACTGTAATAACCTTGCTGCTAACTCCAATTTTTTTCTCTTACTGAATTTGCAAAGTACATTTACTACAACTGTTTTAATATACATACATTTCATAACACACTTTTCTCATTTACTCTCCTTCAGTACATTTAGGTAATATTTAAGCCAACTGAACAACTAATATCGTTAATGATTAATACAAGTATTGTTATATTATGTTATCAACCTCCTTGCACCATTGTACTATGGTACAATGATGGTATGGCAATAACATGGTATTGAATTATTTGAATATTCATAAACCATGATGATACAGGGTTAAGCAGTAACCTGCAATTGTTAATTTTCTACCTGATTTAACCCATGAAGATTAGTTTGTATTGATTAGTTGGTTTAATGTATTTTTGGCTTAGTCATATTAAATGCTATTTATGACTTGAACAAAACCAGTTAATTTAGACATAATTGCAATTTAACTTAAAC